AAAACACTGGTCTGATGACGTGTTTCTGATTTATAAATTCAAGAGCAGTTGTTCTGGTCCAACGATTTTACATCAAATGTCTATGTCTATACGTTAACTTTCAATTTCAATAGTCTAGAAAGTATCACAAAGTATGACAAAATAAATAAATTAAAATAGCTGATAGACGCTTTGGCCATTTGCTTCGAAATTTTCACACATTATTGACAAGGTGTTCCCCCTTCAAAATGCGTCCGGACAGTTTATTACGGCGAGTGGAACAAAAATAACAAGTCCGCAATTAACATGGATATATAAATTATGCAAAAATAGAAAAGAGTGAACTTTGAGGTCATGCTGTGCGATTTTGAAAGTCGTTAGAGAGATGAGTGGACGCATTTGAATTAGTAGTATACCAAGGTATCCAGTGATGTAATTTTACCCACAAACGGACTTGAAGTTTTTAAGCTAATTTTTTTTAAACCACTTTTGTCCAAAAAAGCATATTTTTGACCCAAAATCAAAAACGCATTCTGGATATTTAAAATAAAGACAAGTTTTACAAAGTTTGTATAATAAGCTTTCAGAAAATATATGACATGTTGGATATATAATACCATCTTCATTGTCTAATTACTCAATTAAAAAGCAAGCCAAATAAACTGCATCTCTACCTTAAATCCAATTTTTAATAAACAACAAAAAAACATTAAATTATCAAATTATTGTGTTGGTTGCTGACATATACTGTAACAGTAAGTTTTATTTTGGAATTTCCTGTGCGTGAACAAGAAGCATGCATGTATGTATGTATGTATGTATGTATGAACACATGTGCAATGCAATCTGTAATCAACACTCCAGCTCGGTGGTCAGTCAGTTCGCCCCAATGCACATTCGCCCCAGACCAGTTCGCCCCAAAGTCAGTTCGCCCCAAAGTCGGTTCGCCCCAAGTTTACTGGTGTTCGTTTTCGTGGTTATGCGTGCAAGGAAATGTGGTTTTGAAATATTTTAAAAATTATACTTATAAAGTAAAAACCACATCGAAGGAGGCTGATCGCCGCGATTGTAGCATATCCCCGAAGAGTCAACCGGTGTCGTGCCATATGCGTCTGACTGCATACTTTGC